GTTTAAACTCGTAACAAGGAGTCTTGATTTGATTTGACAGATAGTTTATACTCGTATCAAGGAGTCTTCAAATTTGTAGACATTTTATGCTCGTATCAAGGAGCCTTCAAGTTTTATATGTAGACCTTTTATTCTCGTGTCAAGGAGATCTTGATATGTAAACATTTTATGCTCGTGTCAATGAGCCATATAGATAGTTTAAGCTCATATCAAGGAGCATATGTAGATAGTTTAAGCTCATATCAAGGAGCATTTGAGTATGTAGATAGTTTAGGCTCATATCAAGGAGCTTTATCGATAGTTTAGGCTCATATCAAGGAGCATTGGAATATATAGATAGTTTAGGCTCATATCAAGGAGCATTTGAATATGTAGATTTGATGGAGCTTTCCATATAAATTGCCCCCATAAAATTTGAGAAAAATATGGAAGACCACTTTTTGTTTCCTCCATTCGGATGAAGACTTCATGGCTTGATGAGACATCATCCTTAGTTGCGCCCCCTTGCACAATTTCTTCAAAGAGGTCTTCATGCATCTTCAAAGATCTTCGAACTTGATTTGCAGAGAAGAGATGAGAGGTAGAGAATGTCCCACCGGGCGTGCCAAAAATTTGTAACAACAAATTTCGTGTATTGAATTTAAAAACACGAAAAATATTATTCAAATGAAATTCTTGAATCAAAATAAATATTGCGGTTTACAATCTCTATATATTCCTCTGATTCTTCTCACGAAAAATATTTTAAGTCTTGGAGCGAAATCTTCGGCTTGATCTTCTCCTTGACTTGATTTGACTTGAATTAACGTAATCCGAGGGCTTGCAAGCTTTTTCCCCGATCAAACGTCAAAATATCCCAAGAACGCGAAGAACACGAATCCTTGGTCTTCGCCGCAAAGTTGATCTCAAATCTTCTTCACGCCGGATTTGAATTTACTAACGTTGTTCGGAGGCTTCGCAGCTTGTTTCCGGATTGAACGCTAGTCTTGAGGTTGAACGCGCTTGAATCTTGCTTTGAATCTTCAAGAACGCCTTTAAATCTTCAAGAACACTTGAATCTCGTCGAGAGATCTTGAACTTGAACTTGAATATGAACGTAATTCGGAGGCTTGGTAGCTTGTTTCCGGATTAAACGTCGGTTTTGAGCTTGAATGTGCTTGAATCTTCCTTCGAATCTTCAAGAACGGCTTCGAATCTTCAAGAACACTTGAAACTTGTAGAGAGAATTCTCTAGAGCTCTTGAACTTGAATTTGAATTATGAGATGTGTTTTTGACATTAGGGAGAGCCCCTATTTATAGGTGTAGGAGAGAGCACCCTACCAAATTTAAGAATCGTAGGACGCAATTTGATTGGTCCATGATGATTCACATAAGATCTTTAAGATCTATTTTTAGATCTCACAAGATCTTCTAGATCCACTTAGATCTTCCAAGATCTTCTAGAAGATATGATTTATTTACCAAGAATAAGGATTTGACACTTGGCATTATTTGATTGGTCAAGAATTAAAATATTAAAATATCAATTAATTAACTATTTAAATTTAGGAATTAAATATATGAAAATTCCTAAAATATAAATAGAAAATATAACTTGATTTTTAATAAATTAATTTCCAAATGGCGCGATTTGATTGGACACAATTTTTATGTATCTACAAATGCCCCCTCGAGACTTGTTCACGGACAAAGTGAGTAAGTCGCGACTTCTTTGATTTGGCTATATGGCTGGGCCAATTTCAAAACTTAAAGCCCACTTTTAAAGCAACAAAGCTTAAACCCAAAACCCAACCAAGTTAAGTTTCATTTGGCCCATTTAAAATGGACTTCAATTGAGTGGGTTCATCTTCGACGAGGTGGTGCCGGATGCAAACGAGCTGGTAGGGACCAACAAAGATAATAATTTATGCCTTCCTCGCTGCTGCCGATACCTCTTCCACGCCTATCATCTACTGTGCAAAGAATCTGACGGTGGACAAGTGTCAATTAATCGATGGGTGCATTTTTGTCAAAGAATGCTATCAAATACAGACAACCTTCTAATCGTGCTGACAAGAGGAACAAAGAGAAGAAGAGGATCATTCGCCTCAAGTTAACTCATAATCTGCCCGACACTTTTGAAGAACATCGACGCTGGACCTCCGCCGAAGATCAATTGTTCAAGAAGATGGCTGTGATCGAGCTAAAGCTGCAAGAAGAAATTCACTTAGCGGTGTACCTCTCTTGTTGGATATGCACGTTTGTCCTTCCCAACGACGACGTCGACATAATTCGCCCAGGCACCTTCAAGATGGCAAGCATGATGGCCAAGGGTTATATAGTTGGCCTTGCGGTTCCGGTCTTGACGAGTGTCTACAAGGGGCTGAACGAGCTTACAAGCTACAAAAGTCCGTCTCGATCGACATTTCCCGTCCACTTCGTTTACAGCTGGTTGGCGATTTACTTTAGAACTCACTTCACAATTGGTCAAACACATAAGCCTTTGATGGTGACATATTCCGGTGAGAACGGCGCAAGACACTTTGACCCCGAGGAAGCCCGCAGACGTATCCACAAGGGAGACTCCGCCTCATGGACTTGCAATATCATCATCAAAGACCAGACTTCCCGATACGCCGATGATCAATGAAGACCTAGATACGAATGGAGGTACTTCATGGCGATTCGGGTGGCGTCAAGGCAGTCGTTTTTCATTGAGCCGTATAGTCCTCATCGATTCAGTCACCAATTTAGGTTTTATCAAGATGTTCCCGGAACTTTGAAGAAAGACTTTCGCGAGGGCTCTCTTGACGATGGAATTTACTACTGGCAACAGAGCGTTCTATGCGGATCCTTTTCCAAAGCTTCGTTACCTTGTGCCTCAACAAATGCAAAGAAATCAACAACAGCTTATAAGTCATGGTGGCATCAAGTTCATGGAGGCTATCTTGAGCGCCATATAGAGGATTTGCTTGCATCAAAGCCGAACATGATATCTTCGAGAGGCAAAGAGACAGTTGTTGACCAGGGTGATTCTACAAGTGGAGATCATGAGACGCTTCTTGCCAGAATTCCTGAGACCAACAAGAGAAAGAGTAGGTCCACCTCTTTAGAAGAGAGCAGCAATGCAGATCAACATTGGAAGAGAGCAAAACAACAATCTGGTTCCCAGCAGCATGTTGAAAAAGCGGTAGAGAATCAACACGAGACATAGGACCTCATTGCTAAGGTTTTCTATCTCTTCTTCTTTACTTCTATCTCGAGTTCTCTTTCTAATTGATATATGTATTTCATTGTTGTTTTTAAGGCGCGACGGGATGTCTTTGGTTCTGACGATGACGAGGAGTCGCAAGACGATGAAGGGACTTCTGCAACAAATGTTCCAACGTGTGCCAAAAAATTTGCTGCTGAACAAAAGCTTCATACTCCAGCCATTTCTGAGTTCAAAGGGGAGAAGTTCCTTCTTGACCGCCAAAAGAAGTATCTTCAAGACATGTGGTACGGCCTCCGGGACAAGGTCATGGCGACTCCTATCGACTCCTTGTCTTCCATAAAAGAAGATGTGTCGCTCGTTTTTGACGCCATGAAGAAATGCGACAAGTTTAACTTTTTCACCATCGAGAGTCCATTGAAGGTCTTGTTTGACAATGCCGACTCGTACGACGGAGTACGGTCGAAATCTTCGGGAAAGGTGACGAAGGAACATATTGCTCGGCAATTGGCTGAAGCTAAAGACCGTCTTCGTGAAGATAAGGCGAAGGAGGATATTGAATCAAATCAAGCAAAGTCCACTAAGGCTGAGCTAAAGCGAGTCATGGAAGAGCTTGAGCAGTTGAAGGCGAAGGCAGAAACGTTATCCCAGACATTGAAGCAGCAACAAGAGTCACTCGACAGTGCCAAGGTCAAGGTGAAATTAACTCAAGAGGAGATCCTCGCCATCAGCAATGCTCCACCGTTGGACGAAGAAGTGGTTGAACAGTTGAAGATGTTGAAGTCAAACTTGAGGGCGACTAAAGAGAAGCTAGGAAGCTTGAATCCCTTTGCTTAGACATGTTTGCGACTCTTTCGTTCATTTATTCATGTAATAAGACTCAAGGTTATGGAATGGAATGATTTGTTTCTTTTCACATCATGCGATCTCAAATGTTGCACTTGAAAAGGATCAAGTCATAACGTAGTTCAAAGTAACATGAATATGAATTTGTTTATGGGGGGTGCCGTGCACAGTTTATACTCATGCGGGTCATGAGTGACTATTCTTTAACTACTTTAGACAAAGGTAGAGTATTAGGTTTAACCACATAACACCTTAGTGGGAGAATTAACAGTTTAACCACATATATTCACATTAGTGGAGAATTTAGCAGTTTAATCACATGCAAAGCTTTTTGGTGATTACCGTTCACAGTTTATACTCATGTGGGTCAGGAGTTGTCTTTTTTTTTTT